GACCTTTGGATGCAGTAGAGCCACAGTTGGAGTCGCAGCAGGTGCACACAGAGTCAGGTCCATACAGCTCAACCCATCTGAGGAGAAAGAAAACAAAAACAGTGATGACGAGATGATCCCTTTTGTGTTTTTTACAGCATATTTTAACCTTTTATTTCTTTCTGTCATATGCCACATTACAACATTAAAATATCTGAAATGAAGAGACAGGCTATATATGTTTGCCTAGTTGTGTAGTTACATAATCACAGGTTTTAAACTATTTTTGAACCAGAAATCTGTCATTTCAATAAAGGTAACCCTTCATTTCATTTGAAAAGTTGTAATAGTGCCATATCTCCTTTCAGCATGCGTCCACTGTTTTCTAGGAGCTGTCATAAATTAGCATTTTATCCAGTTTAACGACACTTCAGATGTTAGTCTTTTAAACTATATGCTTTAAAATGTATGAACATCTGGAGTAATAAGAGAAACAAGCTGAGCAAACATTAACAGCAGCAGCCAATGAGCAACAGAAAAAGACTTTAACCCGTTTTAATTACCATGCCTGTTCGGAGAGGAAGAGACCTATGCATTATTCGGCTCATGATAGAAGCCCATGGACAACGGCCTACAATAATGGCAATGGACACCCCCAAACTCTGCTTTTGTTATAGTTTTCTAATGAAGTGACCTCTAGTGGCAGAACAAACTAACCTTCTTTCTTTTGTGTCGTAGTTGCAGGACTTAGCTCTGGGTGTGGGGACAGAGCTGCTTACAGAAATGGAGCAGTGCATGTAGAGCTGCTACAGGAGATACAATCGATCAAATGGTCTTTTAGTGGCATGGTACTCGAACAAAAACAGACAATTTTGCTTAAACTTAAAGAATGCTTGCTCACCTGGACTGTCATGCCTGTGAACAAGAAGGCATCCAAAGAGAATCTCACAACATTTGTTTTGTATGGGAGGAATCTGGAGCGACTGTCCTTGCTTTCAACCATACACCTTCAGAAGAAGAGAAAGCCTGTCTATTACTTATGCCTATTTTTTCTATAGAGATGTTTTTTTGTGACCAATATTCTCAAAGTCTTTACTTTGTGTTGGCGTGAGGTGTTTTTTTTTTTTTTTACCCATAGTTGGCCACGACTGGAAACTGAGGCGTGGAGTTGTGGGACCTCTCTGGAGTCGCGTAACATAAGTGGACGTACAGTCTTTGGTCTTCTGGAAGGGACGGGGCTTCTGCCTCAAAATACATCGGTTGCCCAAGCTCGTACTGATCTGACGGAGAAAGCCTTTCCCACTGAGCTAAATAAAAGAAGAAGAAAACAGTCAGGCAACAGCAGCAGCAGATTCCAAATGCATCCTCATTCAAGCAGTAAAAAAATATATTTAATTAAATGTAAAGACTGAGATGCATGACACCACACATTTGTATTTAATCCCAGTCTTCCATATTGTAAGATGTAGCACATGTTGGCGTTTGCATGTTAACCAACTAACACATTTGTTTTGTGGATAGAAAAACCCAATAATTAATCAAAATGCTCCATTGTTTTTTTCTGTGTGAGTCTATTAAAAAAAGGGCAGAGGCAATTGTTGGGAACATACTGAATGTATTCTTCTAATGTCAGAGTAGCACATGATAACAAAGGTCCAACTGTAGCTGTGTACATAACAGGATGTATGATTACCTAGAAGAGCGTCAGGACTGTTTTAGTCATATGATAGCTATGTGAAAACGATTATCATGATGATTCTGCCTCTATGGAGACAGACATATGACCGTCATGTTTATAGCTTACGCAGGTCTTAGCTAATCTGAACTAAACATTGAATACTGATTTGAACCGGTATTCTCCATAGTGTGACTGTAACACCCTCTCTAAGCATGTCAAGGACACTGTTCTTGGAACTATAGTTTTACCACGCAGCCCTGTGTGTGATGACTACTTCCATTCTTGCAAGGATAATCAATACATACATGTATCCTGATATTGAAGACCAAGTCGGAGACGAGTGCTTTTCCTAACAGCCATCAATCCTTTTTTCCAAATAAAATCTCTTATTTTTCGCAAACTAAATTGCAAGCTCATAGATATCAGTTGACATTAAGACTGCTGGTTTACCATTTCGTGGCGTCAGAAGCAATTTCACTCTATTCTTCATTGGTTTGAAGATATCGCGTGGTTGAATCTTGGGTCTGTAGCCAATTTTGTAGGAGTATTGGTACCTAAACATTTAAAACATGGTTAGGATTAATAAACAAGTGTTTCTATATGATCTTTAAGTTAAATGGGTTAAAAAAAACATTATTTCTAGTGTGGATCCAGTCCACATACCTGTTATAAAAGCATGAAACAGGCAGGATGAAGGAAACAGCTCTTCTGATTGGTCCTTGGAGCTGTGGTGATTTATATTGTAGTTTGTTTGAATAGGTTATCTGGTTATTAATTATCTGCAAAGAAACAAACCAGCTTGATTATCAACCTTTCTTAAACAAGACTAAAGTGTCCACAGCTTTGCTCACAGCTCTGTGAGAACATAGTTAGCAGGGTACAGCTAACCTTAGAGCTAAATGCTAAGATCAGCATGCCATCATACTGGCTAAGATCATTCTAACAAGCAAATGATTAGCATGTATCCGTTAAACATGCTCATGGTCTTAGTTTAGCGTGTTAGCATGCTTACATTTTCAAATAAGTGATGTTATATCTGGATGGATCAAAATGTAAGACTTTACCTAAGACGATGTATGAATTGCATGACTATCCTAGATGGTTGTCAAGATTTGGGCTGCAACTAACAATTATTTATCTATCAACTAATTGCTGGATATACATTACAAAAAAAGTGAAGAATCGTCATCAAAGTAGGCTTAGGCTATAGTTATAAAGGGCCTCAGCTAACTTCATTAAGTGTCTGGTTTTGCATGACCAACTTAACACTCAATCAACAATAACAAAAGACAAAGAAAAGAGGCAAAAACACATTTGAGAAACGTGAACAGTTTTTTTCAACACATTCGATTGAAAAACGATTAATTAATTTATGAATGCAGAGGTGTGGCGCTACAGGAAAAGTCAGAATAACCAAATTCAGTAGGATTCATCCTTTGGTAAGCATGAATGCATACCAGATTTGGCACCAATCATGCTGTAGGCTATAGGCCTACAGTACCAGAGGTGGAAAAAGTACTCAGATCTTGTACTCAAGTAAAAGTAGGAATACTCCTTTACAAGTAAATATCCTGCATTGAACATGTTATAAATAAAAAGTAGAAAAGTATTTGCATCAAAATATTCTTGAAGTACTAAAAGTGAAAGTACTCATTAATTATATCATATGTTTTGATATTAAAAAGTGTTATCAAAGCTGGTAAAAGGTGCAGCTAGTTTTTGTTAATTTGTATACTGCATTAATCCAAATCTGCAAATACACTTGGTTTATTGAATACATGTAGTGGAGTAAAGTACACGATTTACCTCTGAATTGTAGGAGAGCAGAAGTACAAAGTAGCACAAACTTGAAGTACAAGTATCTCGGAATTGTACTTAACTTTAAGTACAGTAGGCCTACTTGATTTAATCTGTTTAGTTACCCAAACCTCTGATAAGTACCAATGCATCAAATAAATGTTACGAAACTATCGACCCACTAACAGGCCGAGATTCCTGGGTAGGCCTAGTGCCACGCAGTTTACTTGGCTAAAACTGGTTTAAAAACTAAGTATTGTAAATTCTTACCGTGCGTTTGGTTCCACACATTCCTAGATCATATTTAAAATAAAAGTAATTCTCTGTAGTTTTGCTGATTTGGCATGACCCCAGTTTGAGACGAGAGTACGGTTCACCGGTGCCCAGAATGCTCCTCTGCACCTGCACCAGCATCTTGTTGCTCTTGCACGAAATCCTCACGGAATCACCCGAAACACCGGGCGCGTCGGTGTTGGTCCGAGCCGGGAACAGGACGTCCCGGACGGGCTCGGATAGAGGCTCCTGTCCGGTGCCTCTGGATGGAGTAAAATGCTCCTTCTCCACCAGTGGGAACCTGGAATCCACAAACACGGGGAGGTAGAGGTATGTGTGCGGAAACCCCGGTACTGTTCCTCCATAAATGGTGGACAACAGGGGCAGCATGAACAACAGGGACAGGTAAACCATGCCCGGGAGTTCTAGGTTTTATTTTTAGAATTAAACTTCGCCTTTAACTATAGAGTATTATCACTGAAATGGGTTGATTTTGGTATAGGCCCTGTTTTTTAACATGTCATGTCACGATTTGCACAAGTGGAACTAATAACATCAAAGATGGCGCCTTTTCCTTTTTGGGGAGCCAATCATGGATGGAGCCAATTGGTGAGCTCGAGGGGACTTTTAAGGGAAAATACCTGTGTGACAGACAAGAATAGTCAATTCTGAGAGATAGATGTATCCTGCTGTATGGGTTGATTGTGCGTTAATCTGTTGCTAATGCCTTGGGGTTCCAGTGGGAGGGATCACTGCGCTCTTCCTCGAAGGCGGGAGCTGCGTTGTTGTATTTCTTCACTTTTCTCATTCATTATTTCCCTTTTTAAGGGTACAACACCTGCAATTAGTGACATTGGTAACACCTGTGGGGTTTTTACCTGTTAGGACGAATAAAATATCTGTTAAGAGAAACAGTTTTTCAACATGCAAATTAAACAGGATTTTACCTGAATGAATAAAACATTGGATCCAAACAATAATTATTATTCAATCATTTTTTTTTGTTAAAATCATTTAATACCAATTTTTAGAGCAATTATGTTTCTTTACTCTGAATTGTGCTAATGCTACCACTGCATGTGTGGCCTTTTTGATGGAACGTCTTCCCCATTTAGTGGATAATCTAATACAAAGAGTACATATTTACGCACAAATTGCAAAACCCTCTGTTTTATCACAATCTGAAAATATTAAAACATGGGAAGTTAAACATGTTAAACTCATCCCAGGTACGTCTTGAGTTAGCAATAATAATAAGACAAACATAATTGTGTTTTTCATTTCACAGGCATACCTCGGTTAAGATTAGTGCATATTTATTCAAAGGAAGTTATGTTCAATGCAGTCCTTTAGAGCAGGGGGTTACAACCTGGGCGTCAGCAAGTTCTTTAAAAAAAAAAAACGTTTACGTTTGTTTGATTGTTAAATAAAATAGAATAAGATTACAAGTTCCTTTTAAAATAACAGGAAAACTCATTTGATGAAACATTCACAGGAAATAATCTGTTAAAATGTCATCGAAATCGCTCATTTTACACAGATTTTCTGCAGTTATTGCATTCATACTTTGGTTTGACTATACAGTTGTTCTGCACTGTTATTGTGTGCTATTATGTATTGATTACAATATGAAATATCAATATAATACATCACTTAACATGTGTCAGGACAGGAGTCATTGTTTTTACTCAAAAGGGGTCCCTTCAGAAAAAGGCAACGCCCCTTCATGTGTTAAGCTAGTTCTCTGCCACATGTTTTTCTATTCACCAAACTGAGTATGAAATGAGAAGTGTGAGTATTGTGCCAGTCCAGTAGCGGGTCGCAGGTGCCTCGGCTCCGTTGCACAGGTGTGTGTTGCAGCATTCATTGGTGAAGGTGAAGTTGAGTCCCATGGTGTGTTTCTCTCCCTTGGCTCCACACAGGGAGGGCAGGACACAGCTCTTCTCATACAACACCACAAGGAAGTCTCCTGAAAATCATGAGTTCAAAATAAACTACGCAGACACACATCCCTCTGTGCTGCCTTTCTCAGTTCTTGTTCTCAGTTTTGAATAATTTAAATAATGTTTAGTGACTTGAGGCGACTCCTCACCTTTCTCACCCACAGCTCTGCTGGATAAGCAGACCTGTTCGGGCGGACACTTGAGAGGAAATCTGATGCAGTCCAGAGGTGAGATGGCGGGAAACACACAGGTGTAACAGAAGAGGGGAACTGAAAGGACAGACGTGTTTAAAACCACAACATGTCTATAGAGCTTAGTTTTGCATGGGAGCTGCAGGCACACCATTAGGAGCAACACATGCTGACATTGACAAACTGCATGGCCCATTGCTATGAATTGAAATCCTCGAGTGATAACATTTTGCAATTGATGAAACCAAAAGTATATATCATAAGAAATAGTGGTAATTACTTTTGCAATGGTCATTTCTAAAGTAAATCAAATAATATGAAATGTATTTAACAATAAAGATGTATATTAGCTTAAGTGGAAACAATTTGGTGACGAACTGACCCTGTTTTGATAATTAATAAAGTGTTGTCCTTTATAAGCCAACATGCCAAACATTTGCTTGTTCAGCTTCTCAAATGTTAGGATTTGCCAGTTTTCCTTGTCATATATTACAGTAAGTTGAATATCTTTGAGTTTTTTTACTGTTAGTCAGGTAAAAACAACGAATTTGAAGATATCACCTTTTGTCCTAAGAAACTGTGATGCACTTTTATATAACATGTTAGACCATAGACAATAAGTTGATTTAAAGAATATTTAACAGATTAATCTCTGCGTTATTTGCAGCCATTGCATGCAGGTAATTTGGTTGCAAAAATCACACCTATTTTGCATTCATGCACACATGCAAACACACACTATGTTGTTCACTTACCCACTGCTGGGAGAGAGCAAAGGAGAAGCAGAGAGCAAACCAGCTTCGACATCACTGACTGTTTCTGTCTCACTGAGAGAAAATGTGCTGGCAGCTTGATGCTTCAGCTCTTATCGTTGTCTCTTTCTTTTTATTTTCTACAACAAACCAGCAGTCTGCCCCCTGAACACGAGAAACCTGTTGCAGACTACGTCTTTACGACTTAAAGTCAATTTCCCATCAGCTTTCTACGTGCTTCCTCAGCTTCCTCCACCAGTCCAGATCTGGGTAAATGTGTTCCTGCTTCTCCGGATATTCAGTTTGTTAACTCCAAGAACTCCACACCCCAATACAAATGATTTAATTAGGCTGTTAGCTTCCCGGTGACAGCCATGCTTTCACAGTGCTACAGAGAATAGCCCCATTCAGATTTAACACAATCAATAGGGCTTTGTGAGGGAACTCAGTCTTGTTTAGGTTGAAAACTGTACAACATCTCCACTCATGTCTTGTTTTTTTACAGGATGACGAGACATGTGTACCAAGGTAAAATGGGGCAGGTTTATTTAATCATGTCTTATTTCTTAATGAAAGACATTGAGTTTGGTGGGCAGGCTGTCAAGTGACCTGCAGTCCCATGACTGTAAATCTGAGCAGCAGGCAGCAACAGCTGTTTAACTTTTTAGAAAATATTTTTAATTCAGTCCTTAAAGCTGTTTTTGTTCACAAAACACAGTTTGTCAGTTTCTATCTTTAAATAAACTATAATAGTTTAGTATAATAATTAAGAGTGAGAACATTAAGCCACATAATCAAGTTAGATTTGATAAGATAATCATATAGATACTACTCAAATATCTCCGGTTTGGATACTTGCAGCTGTGTATAACGCCATTGTTCCTATCATGGTTTTTGCATTCTTTTAACACTGAAGTAACAGCTGGCTGGAGTCTGCTACATCCGGAACATTAAAATCATGTCGGTCACATAAAGGCCCACTGGGTTGAACATCAATGTGTTTTTTTTACTAGAAATCTTCTACCACCATCCAACTAAGCTATTACATTGATAACAAAAGTGAATTAACGTTCAGCATGAATGCAGCTGCCCTAACAAGGTACATACTGTTGTATTTAGTATGCATGTTATCGAGACACACAGTTTGTTTATAAGATTTGCGCATTGACCCTTTTGGTCTCATATCAGCTGTGCAAAGGATTTTGGGTCATCAAAGCGTGCTGGCTAGCTTACTGCAGAATGCATACTAAATAGTTTGGTAGTATTTGTCTTTAACCTCCACTCGATTTGTACTGCGCATCTCAACAGAGATGAAATGGTAGCAAGATGGTCCAAACCTTCATTACCTCCAACATCAACAATTGGGCAAGTGAGTTTCGGGATTTACCGCCCGATTTGGCATCTTACGTGCCCCGGGCAAAAGGCAATCCTTGTTTTTCTAAGCCCTGCATTATTGTGAGAAGTGATTTGATAATACTTTACTGCATTTGGCCTGGCTTTCTTCAGTTGCATATGGTATCATTGTCAACAAAATAGTCTCACACATTGTTTTGTTTCTTGTAACCCTTTTTTAAATTTTAATCAAATTTCAGTTGTTTAACCTTGTTGCGCCAAGAAAATTAAACAAAATTATACAAGACTATGTGACAGTGTTCATACACTTCCATCCCATGTGTGTCCCAACGTGTTGCCCATGCTATAACATTTTTCACAATGGTTGCTCCCTATTTCTAACACACTACAAGCATCACCTCTCTGTCTGCTGCAGCCCTACTGAAACATAGGAAGTTGCTTTCTGCACGCCCCCTGCTGGAGGGCAGAGGGCATGGCTCGCTTGTCGACCTGCTGTCGCCTCATGCGGATGACGGCTGCGTCCACCTGAGCTGCGGCCCTCTTGCCGTGCTGGTCGTCCAGCAGCTGCAGACAGGAGCGCTGCAGCCGGGCCAGCTCCCTCTCAGAGGACTGCAGACACCTCCTCAGCACCGCACTGCCCTGAGAGACACACAGGAAGCACATTTAGTTGGGTTTGTTTTAGTCACAGCAGCATGCAAGCAACCAAAGGGGAGGTGAGTGTTACACCACTGAATGCTTTTTGTTAATATGGTGTGAACATCTGGCAGCATATTGGTTTTCTCACACAGGAGGAGAGGAGCTCCTACTACCTCATATGGAAGACAATTTATAACTTTTTTGCTGTTATTGCATGTAGTCAGGTCAGTTGTTATTTGTTGGTTATTTGTTGGTTAGCCTTATATCTAATAATATGTTGAGGCAGAATTATAGGGCAAGTCCTGTTTTAGTTTTGGTTGAGGCTAGATAGATTTCCGCGGACGCCAGATGCAAGTTAACATTTCATTTGACCTCAGAAAGGTTTATTTTTGCAACCAACAACTTATGCGTTGTAATGACTAAATACAAAATACTTTATGAAACATAAATTACAACTTCAAACATCTTTAAATAAAAAAATCAACTGAAGCTGAACGTATGAATATTGATTGTTATTTAATATTTTATCATCTTAAATATTTATTGTTATTGAATATGTTATCATCTTAAACCACGAAACCTGTTGCACTTTATGACTCCAAGTCCGTTTCTGACCTGGCAGTTGCCCTGAAATTCATGAATTGTCTTTGTGTCTTTTAGCTAATGCTGCAAAGAATGATCATTTTCATTATTGCTTAATAAGATTATCATGTTCTTATTTAATCAAATCATCATTTAGTCGAGAATGGGGAAAATGTCCATCCTATTTTCTCAAAGTGATGCCTTTAAATGTCCAAAGATATTTCCTTAAATATAATGTGAAATGGTGTATCTCTAATCGATAACGCATTGATACTTGATTTAGGATTTAACAAAGCCATTACTTAAGCCGAACCCTTTTATCAAGTATGATTGGATGGCGAGATTTCTGTCGCTGTCGTTTGTGATTGTATTTGAACATATATTGATACATATTTTGGAAGTAGTAAACACCTGTATGAGTTGAGCAGCCTCCGGTAACTGTGTCCCTGGGTGTCTCTGATAAACCTGCACCAGAGGCCTGTTGAGTTTCTCTCTGGTCAGGATGTCACCGCTGTACTCTGGACCCTGTACACAGAAAAACACAGGGAAAACATCACCATGTGCACATTGCTTCTAACTCCCAATAACTACAATATAAAAACTCTGTTCTACATCAACACTCACTAACCTGCACTCTGCCGTAGCTCTGACGGATACAGTTAATTTCCCTCTGCTTTCGAAACACGGCCTGCCTGGTGGCTGCATGCATCAAAGTCAGGTTTTGCTGCGAAAAACAAAACCAAATGACAATCAATGACATCAAGTCATGTGTGTATTGCATGCAAAGATGTCTAGCATGCTGTATTTGTATTTACCTCTAGACTGATTGTCTCGGCAACTTTCTTCACCAGGCCATCATTGACGGTGCGATGAACAGCTTTCTGCCTGGTGATGGCGCTGCTGAGTATCTTTCTGATCTTTTCCCTCAGTAGCTGTGACTGGTTGACTGTCAAAGTTGACGACTCTAAGACCCGTTTACATTCTGCAAAACAAATCAGAAAGGTGTCTTCTGTATTTGTATGTGTGTATATAACTGTGTAGATATGTTTGTTTTTTTCAACTTTGTTTTAAAAATGTGCAATCATACTTCCTTATCTGATCTTGTTAAGGGTAGTGAAGGTTAGTGCTGAGAGTATGTATTAGTATGAATTCTATGTTGGAGATACAATGTATATTTGTATAAAGTAGTAACCTGTGCGTTGTAAACATTATAATGGATAGCTACTAAAATGACACAAGCAATTCATTGAATAAAATTAAGGTAACAGTTTCGTCCTGAGAGTACCCGGTGTAAAGGGGCCGAGGGGGTCTGTTTTTTCGAACATCTGAGCAGCGCTGCCGTGTCCAGCAGAGCCGCTGGGAGGCAGCAGCTCCAGGACACGAGACCTCTCACTGGCACAGTCCAGCACCCGCCTGCCGCTCTGACCCAGGGCCTGGAAGACACACAGGGGGACATTATAGGGACACATCACGTCTGCCACCAACAGTTTATACCATCACTTACTGTATATATCTGCTGATTGTGTCCACCACAATTTCCTTAAAGCCAAATGGGACATCTCCATATGTCTTGTCTACAACCAAAACAGACTCAAACGAGTTTTGCTTCAAAAAGTTACTGAAATTATGAATCAGTCATCACATGTTTCTATTGATTGGCTGTACATTATTAAACCAACTAATAGTTTTAGCTCTAGAACAAATGTGAAAATATGATTGTAGGATTTCGATGAAGGTCCTAAACTGTGATATACCAGTGGGAAACCATTAGAGAAGCTGATTTTCAAGTCAGTTGATTTGTGTGATTACCAATAATTATCCATTATACATTTCTCTACATGGCAAACTAAAGAAGGGTTTGGCTTCCGAGAGAAAATAAATGTCCCAGTTCCATCTCTTTTTTAAATAATGTTTAAAACTTTTATTTTCTTAACAAAAGGATCATATGAGGTCTTGAGAATATGCATCATTTAAACTAATGCTATGTAATTTGACTGAGCATTTGCATAATTTGATCTCAGTTCAAAATGATTGGTGCATGAAGGCTTTGGCAGTGTTGTCTTTCTTCCTCCACTCATGCCAGTAAATCACATGGAAGGGCAAGTAGAAAAGAAAGAAAGACAGAGTGTGCGTGTTGGGGGTGGAAAGGAAAACGAGTCAACCAATGAAGACAGAACAGTGACGTTCTGTAAATCACCTGAAGCTGGGTCAGTGTGTCTCTCAGCGCTGCCTCCAGATCCTGTTTCAGCTGGGCCAGCTCTCTTCTCTCACACAACAACAAGTAATCAGCACCGTCTCTCTCCTGCAACAGAGCAGGCCGGTCACACAACACATCTCCTTTCTTTAAGGTTGCAATAAAACGTAATGAGTTCATACGTAGTCTCTGGGATCACTTGCAACACGTTTGAGAATGTGCCATATTTTGTTGACATTACTGAGAGGGTTTTTAATTGTTTTATACGAGCGGTACATTGTGTTAATAGGATAAGAGTAAAGTTAATAGGTGCGTGGGATTAAAACGTCTTGTTTCAGAACTATTATGTGCATGTTTTTGTTGGTGAAATCCACTCAACACTTCCTGTGCAGCAAATAAACCAAACCAAAATGATCTGTTTGTCCTCAGAGAAACTCAATAAACATCCTAATCTAAAGGTGGTTTAGACCAAAAAATCTAAATATTGAAGTGCAAATTGAGTCTGCACTCGAGTGAATACCCCTGCTGATCCCTAAGCAGGAACTCTGTTTCAACAGGAAGGTCTGAACAAAACACAACAGCAGCCCTGAAGGGATTGTTGATTTAGTGATTTCCTCACAGATTATCTAGGTAAGGCTGAATCTAAGGCCTCAAGAACAAGAACAAAAACACAGTGCAGGAGAGAGAGTAAACTCACAGTCTCAGCAGTGGACGGCCTCCTGGTCCTCCCCTCTGAGCTCCTCCTGTTGACAGTCAGATCGACCCTGAGGCTGCGCAGCATCCTCTCCAGGTGCCCCCTCTCCTTCTCCAGCCTGAGGCCCTCCTGCGTCCCCCTGCCGGCCTGCCTGCGCAGCTGGCCCTCCACCTCCCGCACCCTGCGCATGTACTCCCCGGCCACCGCCACGCTGGCCCCCGCACACTGCTCACGCAAGCTGGTTGGTGGGAACGGGGCCACTGTCCTTCCCTGGAAGCCTCTGGGGAACTGAATAAGAAAGATGGTTTACAATTTCTAAAAGGTCTGAGTTAAGTTATTTACTAAATTATGTTAATATAATCCATCTGTAGTAACTGTAGTACAATAATGTAATATATTGTATTTCATAATGTAACACTCTGAATGGATAATTCTCTATGCTAAATACTTATTTTTGTTTGGATAGTGTTTTCAAGTATGCTTAAAGTATTTCTGATTACTTTTAGGCTACTTTTGTAGAGTTTTTGTTGCAGGAATATTACTTGTAAGAGTTAATTGGTATGTCTAGATACCTAGGCCTACTAGGCTACTTATACTTTGCATACCACTATGCCAGTTTATAGCCTATAAGAAGTTAGTGTGGGTCTGTTGGGTGCTGGATAATCAATGTTAGTGTTTGATCTCCTCTGAAAATATCTCAACTCATCCTGATGTACTATTGTTAGATGTGCCAAGAGCAAGGACTGTCTTAGACAGCTTTTATGTGCGCAGCTCCACTTGCTTGGAACAATCTTCAGCAAGAATTGAAACTGAGCAATCTCATTCCTCTGCATGTTTTTAAAGCTAGGCTAAATGAAATGCTCGTTGATACTATGGGCACTTGTAAATGTCTATAACTATGTAAATGTATCCTGTAAATATAATGTCCTTTATTGTTTTATGTTTCATGTGTAACATATATGCTGCAGGTCTCCCTTGAAAAAGAGATCTATGATCTCAATGGGACCAATCTGATTAAATAAAGGTTTGAAATGAAATGATCCTAAAGTCTTAAAAGTGTTCCTCAAAATGTTCAGTAGGCCTATAGGCTACACTAAATGTTGTTTCTTGTCAGTGTCAAATAAGTGAATGTCTAGTCTAAACAAACCGAGCAGCAATCACGTCTCTGCACGCCTGTGTTTTCTCACCCCTGCTCCTGTAGTTTGAGGCCTCGACATCTTATTTTTGCAGTCACGACTCCCTCTACATTCCTCCGCTGTGATCTTATCTGTTTCCGCTGTACAGTCTGTGTGCTTTGGGCTCAAACCGGCGGAGGCGCTGTAGCTCCGAGGCCGGCTATTGGTACTGGACCGCCCGGCACGAGTCTGCCGAACCAGGCGCTCAGCCCGCTGGATGCAGAGGAGCGTCCCATCGCGCCAAGACTTCGGTCCGATGGTGACCGAAGCGAGCGGCACCGACTGGACCTGCATATTCTCTGCTTTAAAACAAAGGGTTTACCACCAGCTGTAACTTTCCTGAGAAAGATAAACCTGTCCACAGTGAAGTATTCAGGGAGAAAACTTTGTGTGAAGTGTTGAAGAATGAGCTCCATAACAACAGTTCCTCAAGTAACTATAGAAACGCAAAGCCATTAAGTGATTGGACCGTGAGGAGAAGACAGGGGGCCGTGTCATTCAACACCGGCTTTAACAGTCAAATCCCCGCTGACAATGTAACCACTCAGAGATAAAGCACATCGACAGGTTGGATCAACATAAAACTGAATAATCAGCATTTAAGGTCAACAGCAGTTTCTGGTTTGGAGGGAAAGTCAAAGAAAAGTCATAAAAAAAAAAAAAAAGTCGCATAAAAACTTCGAGGTAGTAGGAAGTTAACTACGACTCCCAGGCTGCACTTCGGCACGAAAAAGCAGGTCAAAGCTAAGCAACGGATAATCTGCATTTAAATCAATTTAGAAATACACCTATTATCAAATGAATCTGCAGATTAATAAAAAAAAGCCAAATATGAACAGAAATTTAAAAAAGGATACATTGTGGTAGCCTATATTTAACCTATCCGCAATACCAAAATGACTGACAAACATGATTTACTGCAAACGCTGTTGAAATAATAAAAAATGACATGCCTCAATTAAACTTACATACATTATCCGAGACCTAGAGTCTTGTTTTTCTATGGCAACCAACACATAACAGAACATGAAGAATACATGGGAATACAGAATGTGGAACAACACTTCAGAAACCAGAAGCATCACCAAGCATGCATGAATAACAGCGTCTGTAGACAAAGGTTATTTGGATCAGAGCTTTTAATTCTCTTGAACTAAAAGAAAGAAGATCATTCCAGTAATAAGTCCTAGACCAACAATATATTAACATAGGTAAACATTAAAGAAAATTGAGAAATGTTCAAAAAGAAAAAACGGCTTTAAAAGCTACAATTAAAGCAATTCAAAAATATTATTTTGGTCCCAAGTATTCCCCTCTTAGTTCTAACCTTGCACTGTAAACAGAAAAAGTAGAGTTATGTACCATAATGGTGACAACACAAACACAATAAAGACTGCATAGAAAGGCTAATTCAGATTTAAAGCAATATTTTACCCGCTCCTTTCCAAAAGGATAACATGAGAGTTCATCATATGACTCTCTTAAATCTCAGTTACAATCAAACTGTTCAGAAATGTTTGCAACAGCAATCCCACAGCATGAAATTATAATCCCTTCCTGACCATTAGACCCATATTACATTCAAAACTTAACCAAACACAGTAATCAGGTGTTTTTATAAATCAAGTATTAAATATCCAGCTATGAAAAGCTTGACATGTCTCCTTACTGAAAACAACAGACTGTCTGACTCTCTAAAGTCTGAAATGACTGATTCACTCCAGAGAGTCAGGCAGGTAGTGATAGAGGAAAGTTGTCAAAACAAGGCAGGTTGGCGAGACTCCAAAACGTAAAGAGCTTAAAATAAATACATTTGATGTACACCACGATAAATATGCTGAGGAGGCAGAAAGGTGGTGCAGAAAGTGCAAAAGTAATCTTTCGTTTTTGTGCAATTAGTTTGCATCTCGTCGGTACAGTAGTCGTTGGCTATCACAGTGTGTGTTTGATGCCGGTCAGAGGTTTGTTCTGCAGGTTCTGCTGCAGCTCTCTGAACAGATGGTCCCGCTCCTCAGCATCCACCAGGATTTGCTACATGGAAGAAAACGTAAAGGTCTCAGTCACAATCGTTCATAATAAAGCTCAGATTATCACACATTTCACACAAGACATGTTTTTTTGCAGGAACTTTTTCTTTTTGAGTTGATTTAATGATAATAAGTAAATATTTATCACAGACTAATACTTGAATTGTTGCACTTTACTCTTTTGTTGACCCACTTTAAGTTTTTTTATTCCCGACATTACTATTGCATAACCTTCTCAATAAGCCTCTACAGAGGCTGCCGATAACATTTGTTTTCTACCTCATATTTTTATTGGTATGATTTTGCATATATAAAAAGTAATCCGACCGTAAAATTGAATATCTAACACCAAAATCCTGCCTGATGTTTGAATTGATTAATGTCTTTATTGAAGGAATGTTTTTGTATTAACAATTTATATAATTGATGGTATTTTCTGAAGAATATGTGTGTGGGACTTATTTGGTGAAGATATGGCTCTGTGGGTCTACAGCAGGGGTTCCCAACCTTTTTTCCCCAAGAGCCCCCCCCACACACACACACACACACACACACACACACACACACACACACACACACACACACACACATACA